TTGGGAAAGGCTTTTTATGAACATATGATTTCATTTTTTTCAGGCAAACAACTAGAATTGTTTGGCTGAATCACATGGTAGATGTATGCTTAACTTTTTAAGGAATCAACAAATTATTTTCCAAAGTAGCTGTGTCATTTTTATTCCCACTAGTAGAATATGAAGGTTCTGATTCTTCTAAATTCTCATCAACATTTCGTTGGGCCACAGTTTCCATTTCAGCCATTCCAGTTGATGTGCATGTAATGCTATTGCATTGTGGTTTTACTTTGCATTTCTGTGATGACCAGCAGCGGAACATCTTTACAAGCATTCATTTTCAACTCAGTCTGTATAGGACTTTTACATTTCTTAATTCAATTGTTCTTATTGCTGAGTTTTGGGAGTTTTGCATATATTTTGGACATAAGATCTTTTTGATCACGTATGAATGTGATTTGCAAAATTTTCTCTGAGTCTTTACCTTGACTTTTTACCCCCTTAGGAGTACCTTTGAAAACACAGATACTCTAATTGTGATAAAGTACAATTTGCCATTTTTTTTCTTTTATAGAGCATACTTTGAGCATTGTACATAGAAATTTAGCCTTACCCAAAGTAATGTAGATTCTTTCCTCCTGTTTTTCTTTTACATGTTTTATACATTTAGGTTATATAAATGTATGTGGATCTAGGGTCATTTCAGAATCAACTTCTGCTTATGGTGCTTGGTATGGATCAAGGTCAATTTTTTAAGTTTTGATATCCAAGATTTCCAGCACCATTTGTTGAAAATACTATCCGTTTTTCACTGAGATGAATTTGTATCTTTGTCTAAAGTCTACCATACACCTGTGGGTCTGTTTCTAAACTCTGTATGCTGTTCCATTTATCTGTGTATTACTCTTTACACCAATAACACATTCTCCTGATTATTACAGCTTCATAATAAGTCGTAAAGTCAGGTAACGTGTATTTCTTCTAACTTCATTCTTTTTTTTTCAAATTTGTGTTGGCTGTTCTATGCTATTTGCATTACCATATAAACCTTAGAATTCCCTTGTTAAATTCTTTAAAAAAGAGAGAGAGAGAAACTTGCTGGAATTATGATTATTATCACATTAAATTGACATATCGCTTTGGAAAGAACTGGTAACAGATTGAGTTTTCTAACCGTCAAACACAATCTTTCTCTCCGTTTGTTTAAGTAACCATTATTTCTTTTGGCAAGACTTTTAGATTTTAGTACACAAGCCTTATACATCTTCATCAAATTTATTCCAAAGCTTCATATTTTAAAATTATATTTGGGATAGTATTTTTTCATTGATTTCCAAATGTTTATTGTTAGTATATAGAAATACAGTTGATTTTATATATCCATGTTCTCTGTTGTGACTTTGATATGTCTTGTAGCTTTTTTCTCCTCAAACTGGATATCTTCTATTTCTCTTGTCTGACTGAGCTAGCGAGAATGAGAATTGGTGAGCATTCGTTAGAAAATACGCATTCAGTCTTTCACCATTAAGTGTATTGATAGGTGTATTTTTTGTAGATGTCTTTATTAGATTAGGAAATTTTTTTACTACTCCTAGTTTGCTGAGAGTTTTTATGAAAAGCAGACACTGGATTTTGTCAAACATTCTCTCTCACCTCTTGAAATATTTACATGGATGTTCCTTCTTAACCTGTTAACACGGTGAATACATTAATATATATATATTTTTAAAGTGTATTTGTATTATTTATAAATCTCACTTGGTTGTGATGTGTTATTATTTTCATTTATTGTTGGACTTGATACACTATGATTTTGTTTACAATGTTTGCATCTGGGGGCAGGGCGCGGTGGCTCACGTCTGTAATCCCAGCACTTTGGGAGGCCGAGGCGGGTGGATCACGAGGTCAAGAGATTGAGACCATCCTGGTCAATATGGTGAAACCCCGTCTCTACTAAAAATACAAAAAATTAGCTGGGCACGGTGGTGTGTGCCTGTAATCCCAGCTACTCGGGAGGCTGATGCAGGAGAATTGCCTGAACCCAGGAGGCGGAGGTTGCGGTGAGCCTAGATCGTGCCATTGCACTCCAGCCTGGGTAACAAGAGCAAAACTCCGTCTCAAAAAAAAAAAAAAAAAAAAAAGAATGTTTGCATCTGTGCTCATGAGAGATACTAGTCTGCACTTTTTCTTCTATTGGTATGGTTTGGGTCTCAGAGTAATGAATGCTGCCTTTATTGAATCAATTCAGAAATATTCTGTTCTCAGTTTTTGGGGCGTGTTTGCGTAGAACTGGTCTTATGTTTCCCTAACAGTTTCATAGCATTCAGAAGTGCAACCACCTAAGTCTCAGATTTTGTTTCTGTTGTTGGAAAGGTTTTCAAGTACAAATTTAAATCCTTTAATACACATAGGGGCTACTGGTAGATATCTATCTCTTTTTGATAAGGCTTTTTAAGTTTAAGACTTTCAAGGACTTTTCTCATCTGTGTTGTGAAAGAACAACCCTAACATGGAGTTGTTCATAACATTTAATAATTATCTCTTAAAAAATCTATGTATCAGCTCTGTGGCGACGGCCCTGCTCTTATTCCCAATACTGTTAATTTGTCTGTTATCTCTGTGTTCTTACAGAGAAGTTAACCGTTTTCATCGCTGTTATCAAAGAGCTACTTTTTGGTTTCATACATTTTTTCTGTTGTTTTGCTGTTTTCGGTTTAATTCACTTCTGCTCTCTGTATATTATTTCCTTCTCCTTATTTTGGATGTAATTTACATTGGCTTTTGATTCCAATTTGCCCTCAGGTAGAAACTGAAAATATTGCTTTGAAACTTTTTTTGTTCTTACATGTTTTGTTTTCACTTATATCGACTTCAAAATACTTTATAATCTCTATTTTTGTTTTTTAATTTACATTCAAATTATTTAGAAGTATGTTGTTTAGCTTCCAAACATTTGGAGTATTCAAGTTTTTTTTTCTTTTAATTTGTAGTTTAATTTCATTGTGGTCAGATAAAATGTTTTGTATGATTTGATTACCTTATGTTTACTGAGACTTGTCTTCTGGCCTAGACTATTTTGTTTTTAGTAACTGTTCCACTAATATTTGGAAAAATATTTTGATTCCTGTATACTGTTATTTTGGGGTGGAATGTCCTGAAAATGTCAACTGGGTCAACTTGGCTGAGTGTTGTTTGAGCCTTCATCATTCTCCCTCCATCCTGTACACTTTATTCCATCAAAGATTGAGGTGGGCTCTTAAAATCCCTGACTTTAATTGTGTATTGTTTCTATTTCTCTTTGCAGTTTTATCGGTTTTTACTGAATTACTTGTAAAACTCTGTTATTAGGTACATAGCCATTTAGGATTATTTTGTCCTTTAGATGAATTGATACCTTCATCATTTTGAAATGACTGTATTTATCCTTGAATTACTCTGAAATTTATTTCTCTGATATTAACAGAGCTGTCCCTGCTTTATTTTCATAGATAATTTTTGGAGTCATTTTTTTTACCCTTTTGCTTTCAACCTATTCATGCCTTTACATGTAAAGTCGGTTTTTAATAAGGACTTGCTTTTTATACTGTATGACAATTTCTGCACTTTATTTGGAGTATAGAGACCACTTCATATAGTTATTGATAAAGTGGGAATTAAATTTTTCTGTTGGTTTTAATTTGTCCTCTTTTTTCTTTATTTCTCTTCTGTTGGCCTTCCTTTGAATTAATTGAATAATTTTTATAATTGCATTTCATTTCTTTTTTTTTTTTTTTTGAGACGGAGTTTCGCTCTTGTTACCCAGGCTGGAGTGCAATGGCGCGATCTCGGCTCACCACAACCTCCGCCTCCTGGGTTCAGGCAATTCTCCTGCCTCAGCCTCCTGAGTAGCTGGGATTACAGGCACACGCCACCGCGCCCAGCTAATTTTTTGTATTTTTAGTAGAGACGGGATTTCACCGTGTTGACCAGGATGGTCCCGATCTCTTGACCTCGTGATCCACCCGCCTCAGCCTCCCAAAGTGCTGGGATTACAGGCTTGAGCCACCACGCCTGGCCTAATTGCATTTCATTTCACTTGTTGCCACATGAGCTGCAACTCTTTGTTGGGTTATGTTAGTGGTTACTTTTGGGTTTGCCTAATATGTAATGCATTCTTCACATTCTACACTAAAGTTATATCACATGTAAGAATCCCAGGACAACATACTTCCATTTTTATCGTCCTATTCTTTAAACTCGTCTTACCGTCAATGTACTTATACATATGTTATAAATCAAAGTCATCTTTATTTTTTATTTTTTTCTGAGTACACAAATGCAAGTGGAAATAATTACCATTTTTTACTTTAAGAGTTCACTCTCTCTTTTGAAAAAGTAGACTTATTTTTAAACACGTTTTAGGTTCACAGCAATATTAGCAGAAAATGCAGAGCTCCCACATATGTGTATAACTTCCTTCATTATCAGCATCCCCTACATGGTGACACATCTGTTATCACTAATGAGCCTACACTGACACTTTGTAGTCACCTAATGTCCATACTTGACATTAGGATTCACTGTACATTCTGTGGATTTTGACAAATAAATAATGACATAAATCCCCCACACTAGCTTCATACAGGGTAGTTCCATGCCCTAAAAAGTCTTCGGTGCTCTGCCTCTTCATCCTTCCTTCCACATGACCCCCTTGCAACCACTGGTGTTTATATTATCTCCATAGTTCTGCATTTTCCAGAATGCCATATACTTGCAATCATATAATATATACCCTCTTCAGATGACCTCATTTTACTTAGTGATATGCATGTGAGATTCTTCCATGTCTTTTCATGGCTTAATATCTTATTTATTTTTACCACTGAATAATATTACATAGCCTGGATGCACCACAGTTTGTTTATTCACCTACTGAAGGATATCTTGTTTGCTTCTGAGTTTTAGCAATTATGAATAAACCTGCTATCAATATTTATGTGTAGTTTTTTTGTGTGGACGTAAGTTTTCAGTTCATTATGGTAAATAGCAAGGAGCACAACTGCTGGATTATACGGCAAGAGTGTGTTTAGTTTTATGAGAAGCTGAAAACTGTCTTCTAAAGTGGCCATAGAGTTTGCATTTCCACCAGCACTGAGTAAGAGTTCCTGTTGCTCCACATCCTCGCCAGCATCTGAGTAAGAGTTCCTGTTGCTCCACATCCTCGCCAGCATCTGGCGTTGTCAGTATTTCAGAACTTTGCCATTCTAATCTTCTGTAGTGGTATCCCACTGTGGTTTTAATCTGCAAATCTCTAATAATGTATGACATTGAACATCTTCTCATAGGCTTATCTGCCATCGGTATACATTCTTTAATGTCTATTCAGTTCTTTTGCCCAAATATTTTTGCCCAAAATATTTTTGGCCAACTATATTTGCCGAAATATTTAGGCTGCAGTGGTTGTAGGGCTAATGAGCAAGCAATGAAGCTCCTGGGGAAGCAAACTAGAATTTCATAAGAACAAAACAGAGGGAAAGGAGAAAACCTATGGCGGCTGCGAATGCCCTGATGGCATGTATGTCAAATTACTGTCATCCGATGGCCATGAATTTATTGTCAAAAGAGAACATACATTTACATCAGGCACGATACAAGCCACGTTGAGTGGCCCAGGTCAGGTTGCTGAGAATGAAGCCAATGAGGTCAGTTTTAGAGTGATTCCTTCACGTGCGCTGTCAAAAGTATACGCATATTTTACGGATAAGGTTCACTCACTTAACAGCCCCACTGAGATTCTTGAATTCCCAGTTGCACCTGAAATTGCTCTAGAACTGCTGATGGCTGTGAACTTCCTAGACTGCTAAATAAAATAAATTATAATAAACTCTTAACTCTTTTCAGTATTTAATGCCTGTAGTTCAGTTAGAAACTTTTTCATATATAGCACCTTGCCTGTATGCAGCTGAACTGTATCAAGTTCATTGCCAAGCAGATTATCTTCTGATTTTTGCATAGCAATAGAAGTTTAAATTGGTTTGCTACATCAATAAATTAAGAACATTTCCACAAACTGAGAAACAAACAAAGATGCCAATTGGTTAAAAAAAAAAAATCATCATCATAAAGATAGCCATTTATATTTACCAATGTGATGACCAATTCCGGTTTTATACATTTCTTTGTAAAGATGTATTCTATTCCTCCCAAATCATTTTCTTTTAGCTCTTCTATGTGTAACAAGTACTTGTTTTATCTTTATCTCCAAACAATACATTTATTGGTTATGAAAATCTAGGCTGATATCTTTTTTAGTTTGTTTGAATTATTTCAGTAATTTAGTTTTATAGCTGTAATTTCCAGCATTGTTTCTGAAGAAAAAGTTTGCTGTCATTCTGATCTTTGTTAGGTGAATCATTCAGATTTTCAACCTGGGAGATGATTGTTTTCATTAACTTTGGAAATTTGGTGCACGATTTCTTCAAAAATTTTTCCTGGGTCAGTCTCTTTTCCTTTTTCCTGACACATAGTTATACTGTTTGAAGTTGTCTCACAGACCATGATGTTCTGTTTATTTTTCAGTCTTTTCCTCTGTCTGTATCTTATTTTATATGGTTATAGCTATAACTTCAAGTTACTAATCTTATCCACTACAATGAATAATATACTATTAATTGCCCCAAATAGTGATAATAACTATTTAATGTCATTTTCTACTTAAGACCTGTGTGGGTTTTTTTTTTTAATTTTGAGACAGAGTCACTCTGTCACCTAAGCTGGAGTGTGGGAGTGAAGCGATCACAGCTCACTGCAACCTGGACCTCCTGGGCTCAATTCTCTACCTCAGCCTCTGGAGTAGCTGGGATTATAGGCACATGCCACCATAACTGGTTAATTTTTATTTTTTGTACAGATAGGATCTCACTCTGTTGCCCATGCTGGTCACAAAATCCTGGGCTCAAGGGATCCTCCCAAAGCACTGGAATGAAGCACCATGCCCAGCCTCACCTGTCTCCTTCCTGAGTTGGTTTTGATGGCCTAGTATTTCTGTTAATTACATTTTTTTTTTCTGCTTCGTTGCATGCCTAGTACATTTTCATTGAATTTTACTGATTGTGTGCTAGATATTTTAGTATGTTTATAAGTATTCTTAAGGATATTTTGCTGGGCGTGGTGGCTCATGCCTGTAATCCCAGAACTTTGGGAGGCCGAGGCAGGAGAATCGCCTGAGGTCAGGAGTTTGAGACCAGCCTGGGCAACATGGTGAAACCCTTGTCTCTACTAAAAATACAAAACTTAGCTGGGCATGGTGGTATGCACCTGTAATCCCAGCTATTTGGGAGGCTGAGGCAGGAGAATCACTTGAACCCAGGAGGCAGAGGTTGCAGGTGGCCGAGATAGTGCCACTGCAATCCAGCCTGGGTGACAGAGCCAGACTCCACCTCAAAATAAGTGTTCTTAAGCCTTTTAGAGTGATTCAGTTTTACTGGGAAATTGATCCTTCTGAGACTTGCTTTTACAAATTTGTTAAGTGGGACCAGAGCAGCATTTAGTCTAGAGTTAATTTCCCCACCACCTAGGCAAAGCTCTTCCAAGTATTCTGTGCGATACACTGTATTAGGAAGTTTCCGACATTAACTAGTGGGAAACTAGAGGGGGATCTCTGCAGATCTTCACATCTGTGTGTGTGTGCAGCATTACCATTCTTTCTTGTGAATTGTGGGTATTTTCCTAACCAGAATTTTCACTTTATCTCAGACAGCTCTGGGTTCTACAGTGCTTCTCCTTCTTAAGTCATAACGGAAACTCTCACTTGGCAATCAGCTGTGGAGACTGATGGCTCCTCTCATGAAGTTTTGTGTCTCTGATGAATCATTGTCTTTTGTTCCTGATGTCCAATTTCATTAAAATAATTTTCTTTATTTTTATTGTCATATATTTTTTCGAGATGGAGTCTTGCTCTGTTGCCCAGGCTAGAGTACAATGGCACGATCTCGGCTCAATGCAACCTCTACCTCCCAGATTCAACCAATTCTCCTGCCTCAGCCTCCAGAGTAGCTGAGATTGCACGGGCCTGCCACTGTACCTGGCTAATTTTTGTATTTTTAGTAGAATTTCACCATCTTGGCTAGGCTGATCTCAAAATCCTGACCTCATGATCCACCTGCCTTGGCCTCCCAAAGTGCTGGGATTACAGGCATGAGCCACTGTGCCTGGCCTCACTGAAATAATTTTTTAAAAACACTTACATTTTGTCTTTTCTTTTTTTCTGGTGGGAACTTAAATTCTGGCATGTTGAAAGCATAAATGTCTCCCTTTTAGTTTAAAAGCCAATTTTTATTGTATTTCTGATTCTATGGGAATTGTCTTGTTCAGGGTTTTACTGAGCTTGGACATTGATGGAAATTTTAAAAATTAAATAAAATTCTAAAATCGCAACACCTGAACATACTTTATGTTCAGATTGTAACAGCCCTAATTCAGTCACCTGTTCTTTTTTAAATGAGCATTTATATGTGAGTGTGAAAATTATTTTAAGTAAAATTCCTGTACTCGTTTTTCTCTTTTTTAGATGTCACACTTTGAACCCAGTTTCTCAATAGGTATGTGCAATAATAACAATTTTACTGGAGAATGTATTAGTCACTCTTTCTTTGGGTGGAGCAGTTTCCATGAAGTCCTCCCTCAAGACAAAGTCATGATTTTTGAGGCCTTTGCCGGGACCTTGTCCTGTGTGCAATATTAAAACGTACCTTCATTGCTCATTTGTGTCATCTTAAGCCACACAAAATTTTTCTTTTTTTTTTTTTTTTTGAGACGGAGTTTCACTCTCGTTACCCAGGCTGGAGTGCAATGGCGCGATCTCGGCTCACCGCAACCTCCGCCTCCTGGGTTCAGGCAATTCTCCTGCCTCAGCCTCCTGAGTAGCTGGGATTACAGGCACGCGCCACCGTGCCCAGCTAATTTTTTGTATTTTTTTTAGTAGAGACGGGGTTTCACCATGTTGACCAGGATGGTCTCGATCTCTTGACCTCGTGATCCACCCACCTCGGCCTCCCAAAGTGCTGGGACTACAGGCGTGAGCCACCGCGCTCAGCCCAAAATTTTTCTTTGCCGTGACAACCCTAATATATTCTCAAGTGTTGTCTAGGTTTCTGTGAAACAAATAATTCCAAAATTGTATTCTTTTAGACTACTAGAATGTTCCAATATTTATATTATTATGGAGACTTATAATGTATATACAGTAAAAATAGAGGAAAGTTCAGTAATTAAAATGTCACTGCCCCAAAATACCTTGTAATAATTCACAAGTAAAAAGCAAACCCAAACTTCTTTCCATTGATAGATGCTCGATTAATGCAGAATAGCAGTCAACTTTTATGGGCATTTTGATTGGAAAGCTGCTTCACTTCCAACAGAATCAGTTTCACTGATTACATTTTTCCTCTCTCTGCCTCCCTGCCCTCCCTCCCTCCCTCCCTCACTTTCTTCTGTCTCCCCCTCCTCTTCCCCCACTTCCTTTTTCCCCTGGCTCCCTTCCTTCCTCCTTTCTTCCTTCCTTATGCTTGCTTTCATATTATTACTTGGGGAACCTTGGAATAATGGCATTGAGTTATGATGAGGAGTGTTCATGGTAAAGTGGTACCTAATACATTTGCACTCTAATATAAATACAAGTGATATGAAACCTTCAGAGACATAATTGGGATATATTGTTCCTCTTTGCTTCAACTGACAGTGCAAGGAATAATTTTAGATTTCTGTAGGTTCATATCTCACAAACATGTACACAGTGAAAAAATAATTTAAAGTAATTCTTTAGATAACAGACCTTAAAATGCCTAATTTAATCTGACATTTCAAGATAATTTTTTAAAGTTACAAAAATTGATTTTGCTTAAATTATCTAGATATATGGCTCATCTGGACTCTGCTTTTTGCCCACAAATTTATCTTGTTTATTTCTCAGGTCTTTTTTCACTCCAGTCAGGTTAAAGTTTTCTAATTGATTTGACTGATGGCCTCACATCTATCTTTACATATTTACATCTAATCCATTATCAGATGCTAAAATGAACTTTGACAAATAAGAAAACTTTTCTGTCTTGAATAGTGGCTGAGCTGTAACAGACTTGTGAATTTAATCAACCTTAAAATTAGTAAAGGCGAGAGAGAGAGAGAGAGAGAGAGAGAGAGAGAGTTGATATATCTATTTAGAGAGTCTCCAGTCTTAAACTTTTTTCAGATTTTCATCCACCAAGCAGCTTTATGAAACAGATGCTGTTTATCATGTCTTTGCCTTCACCAAGTTGATGTTAATTTTAGAAGTCAATGAAAAACAGTAAAAGCTAAAATCCTTTGTTAAATTAAATGTGGCAAAGAAGACATCAGAATATTACAAGGGTCTGTTGGAAATATATCTGCTCACTGGTTCTTGTGTAGTCTTCTTTCTGCAGAGATCTATATTTATGCAGCTTTCTTGTTTGCTTCCTTACAAATCTATAAATTATATCTATATCTGTCAGTCTGACAAATGTATTACCTTATATACCAATGGAGAATATTATCAGGAGAATTTTAATAGCCTGTAGCTATTGAACACAGTTGGTGACAAACCATTTCTTCTATTATTGACCCAGGATTAAAACAGCTTTCATAACAGTATTTAAGAAAGCCAGAAAATGGGATACATTGTGTATCTTTTATTGAAATAAGATACTGTTTGTAGAACAAAAATACACATATTCTCAGCTTTGTAAATGAATTTAAATTTCAGTTAATTAATAAATGCTGTGTTATTAATATTTGACCCTCTGAAGAAACCTTTAAATTTAAGTTTTGAACAAAAGACATTATAAAATTATATCGCGAAGGGAAATGAAAAGGTTAAATAACTCTTATTCCTAACATTTCACATTCAAAATGCAACTATAATTTCAAGCTTTTTCAAAACTTTAATCTCTACACTGTACCTAGTACTTTAATATGTAATTTAATCTTCACCAAAAAAAAAGTTATGAGGTAGGTAATCTACTCATGAGAGATCCTATCTATCACTGTTTTACTGATTAGAAAACAATGTTGAATGAGTATATTGACCAAAATGTATACAGTTCACAAATG